GTACACACACAAATTAGGGCCATACCAGGAATAGCTCGTTTGAGGTTAAGCTCAAATTGGACGATGGAGTCGTTATGGGATGGTCCCTTGATAGTAAAAAGAGTGATGGTTGGTCGATGCGATGAGATGACGATTCCCTTTGGTATAGCGATGTACTGCCAGGTTATATGCACAGGATATCGTGCTTTGCAAACAGATTCGGGAATTCCATCACACATCGAACGCATTCGATTACATCGACTAAAAAGTTAGTAAGCACTCAACATAAAATACCTAAATACATGAGTTACAAAAAAAAATGTTAGCAGCTAGCGCAACAAATCTCGAACATTGGAGTTCTTATGCACGTCCAGATAAGCATGTCTAGCTTGACTTCTTTTATTTTCGGAAAATTCGAAAAAGGGATATCCTTACTTCTTATAGTTGCTGTCGTGAACGTAGTTTGGTGGACATTCGATTCGGTGGCATTTATACTGGCCTAGAGTATTGACACAGATTCTGTCTTTCCCTTGACATTCGCCTAGAGCACATTCGTCCACATCTAAAAAGAGTATATAAGACTGCGATGACATTTATATACTGTAAGAAAGATATATAAAATTGCTATTTCTTGGAAATCTATTTGCATACTTTCGATTTTGTGCTATATGTTGCGGATGTAGCGATCGCTTTATCATTGAGACTTTTTAGTATTCAAAAGGGAGGAGAACTCAATATATCCCACAGCTCTATATAGATGTGCTAATTGGAAATTAACCAGGCACTGACCCATCTGACCCTCCAAATATCCTACCAGTGTTCTTAGAGACTTACCGACGCAAGTTCGTCCATCCGGCTGAATTTTGTATCCTGGCGGGCATTGGCAAAGATAAGATCCTTTCGTATTTACACAGCCGCCCATGCAAAGATCACTACCTAGACGAAGTTAAAGTAAAATATACAAATTGCCGTGGCTGTTCTTCTCTTTTATAAAATAAAAACCAGTCATTTGCTGATCAAAGAAATGTGAATAATTATCGTAAAACTATGCTATATATAGCTTACACCCACTCAATTCAATTTTTGAGCTAGTGCGACAAGCTGAGCATACTTATGTTTGGCAATAATGTTGAACTGTTCTCAAAATAAGCTCACCCGATCCAGCCCAAAGTGCACACTCGTCAATGTCCTCGCATGTTTTGCCATCGCTACCTAAATCCAAAAACTGTAAATGCAAGATTAGTAAAGCTAGAAATGCCCTTACCAACAGTGTATCCTCTGTCGCAGATACATTGATATGAACCAGGAATGTTAATGCATTTCTGCTCACACTGAGCTGTTCCTCGTTCGCATTCGTTGATATCTGGTTAAAAATCTACAATGAGGTATTCAGAACTCTTCAATTCGCTCACCTTCACATCTTCTGCCATCAGCAGCCAGCTCAAAACCTTCCTTGCATTTGCAGATGAAAGATCCGATTGTATTCTGACATTCGGCAGAGAGATCACACACATGTCCGGCGAATTTCTCACATTCATCCACATCTTCGCATCGTTTCGTCTGAAATGAGAAAGTTTTGAGCAATTTGCCGCGTCTTAGCATTACAAAGAATCACTTATTATTCTAGTATCAGCATTAGCTTATATTAAAGATAAATATCTAAAAATCATTTTGGCATTTTCAATTGCAA